GCGTATATAATACTAATAATAATAATACTAATACTAATAATAATAATAATAATACTAATACTAAAAATAATAATACTAATAATAATAATAATAATAATAATAATAATAATAATAATAATAATAATAATAATAATAAAAATAATTCTAATAATAATATAATAATAATATTATAATCATAACAATAATAATAATAATAATATTATAATAATCATAACAATAATAATAATAATAATATATATTATATTATAATATTATTATTATTATTACATTGTATATATCAATAATAAGAATATGTTTCTTAGGTTTTATATTTTATTATTGGTGTGTATTTGTGTACAACTGGCCTCTTAAAATAAGTGGCTATAGATTTGTGTGCTTTTTTTGTTTTTGTTTTTTGTTCGCCTTTTTGGCTCAAACCCTTTGGCCTGGGGTGACGCAAGGGTTGCCAAGAGTCAGTCATGCGTGTGGCGTTGCGACCCAAACAAATATACTTTTAATGGCTTCGGCACTTTGGAAATGTGTCCCTTTTTTTGTTTTTGCCCGATTGTTGTTTTTGTTTGCTTCTTGGGGCCTAAATCATGTTAATGAATTTTCTTTCGGTCATGTTTCGGCCTGTAGTGCGACATTAATTATGCAAAATTAAATTTTATATCGTCGCATTAGGCGGAAACAAACAAAAAAAAAAATAAAAATAAATAATGAAAAGTATAAAAGAGAGGCCTCACGTCTGTGCCGGGCTGCTTATTTAAATTTATGAATTGAAAAAATATTAAATGCCAGCAGTGCGAGGCGAAAGCCGCTAGGGTCATTAGGGTGCAACGTTTTATTTTTTATTTAACACACACATATACGCAACGGGCAGCTGTGACTTTTGGTTAAGCGGTTTTCATGGGTGTACGGCGCATTTGAACGGTCAGCCCGAAGGATCTCATTAGCGTACAGTGCGCAATAGTTTTCGGGGGATTATATTTAATGCTCATCTGCAGTCGCTTCATAAATCACGTCAATATGCTGGACACGAACCGGCGCCAAATTTGGTTGGACTTTATCGGCAGCTAACTAACTAGCAGTCAGCCCGACGAAGCGCACTAATTAGACCGCAGGTGCCACCAGCTGGCAGCTATAGCCCACAACAACGACAACATAGTCAGGGAGAAATGTTTGTAAATTGCAATTCATGTGCGTAAATAATGAACGCTAACGCCGCAGCCAGCGGTGCGTATGAGTGATAAACAGCTGTCGAAGTTAAAGCAACAGCAGAGAGACTAGTCCATTGCATAGCTAAAAGAACTGATTAATAAGAACGATGAGAGGCGTCTTTAAATCAAGCAATACTAATATTCTTAAATGTACGTTTTAAGCAATGAGTAGCTCTGGCTTGAAGTTTCTACAAACTATTATTAATAAATGATACGTAAGTGTCTTAAAGTACGATGTTTTTCATGTTTTAGGCAAAATATGTATGTATATGTATAAAATATATTTGAGTCCATTAATGTAATGTTCCTGCCAAAGTTGAGATTGCACTAACTTTTTTTGAGGGAAATTTACCATGAACTTTAACAAGAAAAAAAAGAAAATGTCTATATATTGATTCTTTAATAATTTTAGTTTATTATTTCTTAAAAATTTAAAGTGATTATTCACCTGATGCTTGTACATTGCTTGCGTTGTTAAAATCAAGTAATTATACACTTAATATTTTGCTACGTTTAACAGAAAATTGAACAAAATTTGTCTTCAAATTGGCGTTGCATGGTTTTTGCTTCCCCTTTCTCAGTTACCTAAACTGAAGAAGCTATTTTTCAGCTGCAGCTCTATGGAACCGTTGTTGGGTTCGATACCTGGCAAGCATTTAACCAGAAGTTGCAGCCAATGGACCAACATAATCCCAATAACTAAGCATTCAATGGGTTCTCTCTCTCACTCTCTCTCTCTATCTGTGTGTGTGTGAGTGTTTTGCAAGGGCCAATTTGGGCACGGTTTCGAGACCAACACCACAGCTGGATACGGGTCTGGTCTACGGGTCTGCATAACCTCTAACGTTTTCGGCTTACCCCACTTGCCACGCCTACTTCTTCTGCCCTTGGTAGTAGCCGTAGCAGCCCAGTTAGTGTCTTGTCAGAGACAACATGTAGTTGCGATTAAAAGTTTTTTCCTGTTGCTGTCATTGGCAAATGTCTGTCGGCAATCAAGCTGCATGAGTGCATTTGCTGCCTGCTGCACCTGCCACATTCTATCTCCAAACGCACACAGACGCAGACAATCACACACACTCACTCACACACACACACACACACACACACACACACACACATATATAGACACAGACACGTACACATGCACGCGCGTGCAGCATTCGTAGCATCATTAACGGTGTCGACGGTTCGTGTGCAGCCTTTTAAGCCATTAGCTAGCCAGTTTCAGTTTGCCAGTTGCTGTTGTCCCTGTTGATTGCGTGCGGCTGCGTGGCTTAAATTGTACCAACTGTCAAAAGGATGCAGGCTCTTGGCTGGCCAAAAAGGGCTCCAAATCCTTTGGACAGCGACTCTTTGTGCCACGCCCTAATTATCGTTTTCGATAAACCAACTAGAGCTGAATGCATGTGACATGAACACGCACGAAATTAGATTTAACGTGTGTCCAAAATGACCAAAGATGGCTAAAAATTAAGCTACAATATTGAATCTTTATATTTTTAACGAAAAGGTTTTAATATCAAACCAATGTAGAAGCTCATTTACAATATATTCAATAGTTTATATATGTCTTATATCTCCATGTTCAGTAAAATATAAGAAATAGCACTATTGACCGAATCAAAATAAAGAAAAATTAATATTTGACATTTTTGAACCGAAAATATAAAAGTTTTTAATAATTTTGCTTGTCTAATCTAATGCAAGGACATTTTTTTTATACATACGTTCAATTTTTTATAATAATAAATATAAGAAATATGTAAAAAGGAATTTTCCTTGAAGCCAGTTTTTTACAGTTTTTAGATGTATCCTTAAGGCGGTCACCTCATTACTAGCATAAAAAAAAACTATTCAAACAAGCCCAGCTCTTCAGGAAAAGGCAGTCCTTTAGAGCGGCGCACGTTGCGTATGCGCAATTTTGCATACAAATTGTTGTATGTGAGTGTGTGTGTGTGTGTGTGTGATTGTGGTATGCGTGGTAGTAGCTCATGCATGGCTCATTGGCTGTGAAAATTGCTTTATGCAAATTCAATTCAATAGCTCTAAAATATGAATCTAGCACCAAAATATGTTTGCGTGTGTGTGTGTGTCCGTCGAAGCCTGCATAATTCGGTTGAAAATTAAATTGTTATTAGTTTGCGCAACAGGCAATTGAATGTATCGAATACAGTTCCTCTCCCAGTTGTGGCCCGGCATAAAAGCTGGCTCATTAGCATAGAGCGACAACATCGTGTGGATGCCACACAAATTTACATGCAACACTAAAAATAACATAAATATTGCCTGGCGACAGCAGCAGCGACAGCAACAAGGCGACAAAAAAGTGAAAGAAGCAAAACAAACTGAAGCACAGGAAAAACTACACAAAAATGAAATTCAAATAAACCTTAAAATTGACTTAGCGACAGCAGCGACGCTAGCAGCGACTGCGACTGCGACTGCGGCAGCAATTGCGACAGCCGGCGGCACAAGAAATTAACACAAAATCAAAATACATAAAAATAAAATTTAGGTAAAAAGCAACAAAAATGCTAAAGTAAAAACGTCAACAGCGCTGTCGCTAGAGCGAGCAACAGCTCTGCAGCACACATTCAGTGATTTTACCTAGTAAACAACTATAAAATACCCTTGAATTTACAAAAATACTCTCAAAACGTTGTTACCTATTCAATTGCAGTGGCCATGCATTGATTTAAGGCTATATTCGCTACATAGCAATACAATTTTACCTACATAGTTGTACACATACGAATTTGTGTTGTTTGTTACATAGCTTTCCAAAAACCGAATACACCCTTTATAACTGTGCTCTCATGTCATCTAATGTTGTTGTTGTAGTTGCTGTTGGCTGTCTCTTTGCTGGCGTGTAAAAATGTAACCATGCTAATGCAGAGCATCGAACTTGAACATGTTGCAAGCGAGAGCTGACATTAAAATTGACAATAAATCAAGGCTTAGTTCTGTTACATGTTTAAAAATATAAAAGAATCAAATATTATAAATATTAAATATTTACATCTTATTTTACGTGAAATAACAAATAATATTTGATAGCCAATGAATGTACGTTTATGATAAACGGTAAATATTTATAAATAATACCAGTAAGCTCAAACAAGTTTTGCTTCACTGTGCCGGTTGCCGCGCTTAAGCTCGCTCTTCATGACACCCACTCACACAAGTATACACACACACTCGCAGAGCGCCAGATGCTCACACACAGGCAGCAAACAAGTTCTCGTCCAAAGTTCAAACGCAACCTGGTTGGTGTTGGCTGCCGGCAATGGCGACGTTGACGCCAACGTCGCTGCCAGTTCAGTTTGTTTATAAATTTTGCGCTGTACGGACGTCGGCGCATCAGTTTGTCGCGTGTTCTCAATCGCATACTCGTTTTGTCGTATTCGCGCTTCGCGCGCTTACTACTTGACCTCCCAAACCCCTCTCACTCACAACTACGCACGTTTACCGCCTACGTCAGGGCAAAAGGCGCGCGCGACAAGTGAAGTGAATCACATCCATATGTACATATATTAGCGTGTGTGTATATTTGTCTTTATGCCTGTATTTGAAGTTATGTATCGTGTTTGCGGTGTGTTGCGTTGATTTCTTTTGTTTGCTGGCCAATTGTTTGGCTTAATTAATTGCAAGTAGCATATGGGTCCACAACGACAACTACAAGAACATTAACATACGTCGCAGTATATTTCGCAACAAATAAAAAGGTATTGAAAAAAGTGCTTACTTCTCACCAATCCCCACACAGACGAGCTAAAAGAAGAAGAAGCAGCGAGCAGCAGACGAAGCAGCAGCAAAGCTAACAAAAACCAGTTTTGGACAACGCTGCAAGCAGCGCAGTCGCAGCGGCCAGTGGGGTAAGTGTATGTGTGTATACATGTGAGTTGTAGGTTTTGTCTGTTTGTCTGCGGCAGACGTTGTCGCTGTCGCCGTCGCTGTCGCTGTCGCCGTCGCAATCGCCAGCGTCTTTGTCGCCCGCCCACACGCCTTCGTCAGCGTCGCCTGCAAAACTGGCTACAGCTTGAAAAATGTTACTTTAATTTTATTGAAGAACTGACTCAAAAAACTCGCTTACTCAATAACTCCAACTTGCTCGCCCGCTGTAGAGCGACAGCTAGTTGAAAGAATTTTAATATGCTAACTAGTCAAACACACGCAGTAGCAAAAGAAGAAGATGAAGAAGAAGAATTTGATTCTGCAGCAGTTGTAAAGATACAAAGCAAGGGAACAATTTAAATCATGCTAAATTAAAAACAAAACTAATTTGCACAGTTTTGCAGTTGGCTCCAACTTTGTCTGCGCTGCTTCTGTTTACAAAAAAAAATACTCATTTAGACAACCAGCAAGGAGAAGAGCTGCAAAAGCAGAACAGCAACAACAACAACAGCAACAACAACAACAACAACAACAACTTCAACAAAATCCCGGCAGCAAACTTTTAATTGTCAACTTTTAACCAAGTCTCATCGAGTAGTGTTTTGGGCCCAGAGTTCGAGTCGAGTTGAGCTCAAAAGAAGAGCTTTCAGCTTTTTTATAATTTTATTTATTTATTTTTTTGTTTTTTCAGCTTTCATTTGCACTTACTAATTGAAATCTAGTTTGCTCTCTTTTACTTGAATGCACTATGTTCCATTTGATATGCAAAACTATTCGACCGCTTTGTGCGGAATTATTTAGAAGCTCAGTCAATGAAGCAACTGTTATGCTTACGTATGAAATGCAACTCGGAATGAAATGGATGAAAAAGCCCAGACAAAGTTGCATTCGTAATATATGCACGTTCCCTGTAACTCTAAACATATATGTATATAATTTGTATAATTATCAATTGTTAACTTTTTAAATGCATTTCGAGCTTTCTGGGCAATATAGCTTTTATTACTTAGATTCCGTTTCTGAGCTTAGCTTAGCATTTCCGAAAAAAGTTAATGCTCTCATCAGCTATATTAATTATGTTCACTATAACTAATTTAATTAGATGTGACTTTATGCTGTCATACTTACGGCTATCAATTGCATATTCGAATGCCTTTGTTTTTCGTTTACATTATTTAATGTATCTTGACGTTTTCCATCCCCACACAACTGTTGCTCTCTGTCAAGTGCTAATTAATTCTTATTTACAACCATTTATTTAAAAACATTTCACTTTTAAAGCCAAACTTCACTCGTGTTGTCTCTCATCTACACTTGCAAAGTGCAGACTAAAAGTTGATCCTCTCGGAAATATATAGTGACAACTCATCTCAATTGCAAACTCGACTTGATGGGCAACAACATAAAATTATTAAAATATTTTGGCAACACGGCATTTAGGCAACGTAGCTCTTAAGCTAAAAGAAGCAAAACTTCGTCCTTACGTTGTATTCTGTGTACTTATGCCTATGCACATCCTGTCAGCCCGAGGAGCTGTGGCAAATGTATTTGAATATATTCAACACTTTAGCCAAATATTTGAAATACATTTTGATGTCTGCCGAGTTTTGCATAATTTATGCATGTGTGCAGAAATGCTAATGGCCTACGAGCCATCACTCTGGCCCCCTCTCCTCAACCCCTTCTCTGCCTCGACCTTGCCGCCGGAGAGTTTATATTTTTCAATCAGTGTCACAGCTCTCGACAGCTTGTGATAAGTTTTATTGCCATATTCCCAATGTGGCGACTGGAATTCTTTAATTGCTTGAAATTTCATTAGATGCCGTAACATAAAACAAGTGAGGGCGTTTTAATCAAAAGGATTCGACTGAAAAATACCCTGCACTCGGCCTGCATATGATATATGGTGCATAACAAAAGGCAAAGTTATTATTTTCAGAATATTTGTTTAAATTTTGGTTTAAGCTGGTGGTGAAAGGAGGGGAAGGGATGAGGGTAGATCATGATATTCGAAAAACCACAGCACTTATAATTTTAAATATATTCTAAACGATTTCTTACTTCCAAAGTGTTATTAATAAACTTGGCAATTATTGAAGACGGCTAATAGCTTGTTTTGCATATGATTTAAGGGGTCATATATAACTAAGTGTAATCCCCGAGTTTTTACATTTGTCAAGAAAAACCTGACATGACCAATATAATATATATATTTTATGAGGTCAATGAGTTTCCATCGGCCTGTTATACACATTTTCACAAAATTATTGTTGCCATTTTTACTAATTTTTAATGGTTACAGAGTTCGTAAAATTTAGGGCAAACCTCAAATGTAAAGCTTTGAATAAATAGGAACTTAAATAATCGTTAAGGCAATGGCAAACGTACGTATGTACGTAACGTATATACATGTATATTCAGCCTTGTGCAACCAACAATAATATTTTCTTTAATTATTTCCCTTCAACAAATGTGCAAAAATATTTTGATAAATTATGGCAAAAGGTCTGTGGTAAAAGTTTTGCAGGTGCCGAGCAAAATATAGATATAGAAAGTCTATCTTTATTGCAAATGACACTATCCCTTTGCGCCGTCTGTCGGCTTAAGCCTTCGTCCAGTACTTGTGTACTTGCAGATGGGAATGTAAATAGAGACCGGGTTCAAAATATGACTCGAACAGTTGTAAAACTTGCGGCTTGTGCCCGCAGGGAATTCAGTTGTGAGTTTATAATTTCTGCTTGGCTGCCCACTAACGAGACTTACATTAAAGTTTACATCATTAAAACGGCCATCTAGCTAGTCGAAACTTATTGATAAATGTGGTTGCCTATGACAAAATATTAGCTGCAGCTTACTAATGTAAACTTATGCTGCCTGGTTGTCAAATTATCGCTCTGTCAAAATATAAACATTGCATTGAATGCGTGTTTAAATGACAGACACTGTCAAATAAACGTGTAGCATGTTCATGCAGCATTAAAGTCTATCTTCAGATTAACTGCAACTGTCAGAATATTGCATGAATCAAGAATAGACATAAATTTGACAGTGCTGGCAGCCTTGGGAAAATTACATTCACAAAAATAAATACATCTTATATTAGTAGAAAGATGACATTGTTAAAGTGAAGTTAAAATATACAAAAATGTCCTCAGTGTTTAAATCATATACATTTTTATTGGTTTTACAACAATAAATATCATCAACAGAACTCACAGCCCTGCTCAACCCTACATTCCTGGATAATTTAAAAAATAAATAAAAAACATGTAAGAGGTTCTAGTCGGGAGCTCCCGACTAGGGGATACCCTGAACCCTCTTCTTCAAACATCAAATTCATATATATATTCTATTTTAGAAGCTATATGTCAAGTTTGGTGACTCTAGCTCTTATTATTTACCAAAATTGCCCAAAAAACAGGATATCGATATCAATTTTTATCGATTACCTGGAAACGGAGTAAGTTATCGATTATCGGAAACAAACTCGATCTGCGCGGGAACTAGGAACATCTACTTCTAATATTTCAAGTCTCTAGCTCTTATAGGTTCTGAGATCCTTGCGTTCATACATACCGACGGACGGACGGACAGACGGACATGGCTAGATCGACTCGGCTATTGATGCTGATCAAGAATATATTTACTTTATGGGGTCGGAGATGCTTTCTTCTGCCTGTTACATACATTTGGATTTTGCACAAATACAATATAGCCTTATACCCATTTTTAATGGGTTTTTATAAATTAAACTATTACAGCATTTGGGGTGCGAGTGTGTAAGAAGAAAAATTTGAGAAAATGTAGTGTATGTATATGTATGTATGTATATGTATGCATGTACTTATTTATTTTAGCCTACATTAAACAACATAGTTTTGATCTGAGCAAAGCGTACACCAGCAGTTGTCATATTTCATGACTCGCAAAACAACCTCAGCCGGATTGCCGGCAACCAAATGAATATGAAACATTTGGCATAGCTATGAGTGAGTAAGTTGCATGCAGGGCGTGGCAGGGGGCACAAGAATGTATTTATGCATGTATATAGCGTATGCACCGAGCTCTCCTGGCCTGCTGAAATCAAGTTGACTCAGCGCTGACTTCAGGCCGCAAATATTTTGAGCAAAATGATGCCGAGTGTCTAGGAACGTATCTTAATGAATCATTGACAGGGCGTGGCAATTGCCATTAAATCGAAGTTAATATTAAATATTGAAAGCACTTCGAAGTGTAACTTAAATTTAAATAAATATATTTCAAAGTGGTCCCGCGGGAAATTTGCATAGTATATGATTTACGTGCCATTTAATCGCTCTGTATCTTAAAGATACATTGCAAATGGTTGCACATATTTTTCATTTTATTCCTTTTGTCGCCCGCTGCTATTTTTTATGTTCATTTTTATAATTTTTACATTTTTATCTCCTGTATTCCTGAACTGCACTGAACATTAAAAAATAATTTTAAACGAGGCGTTGAATCGAATTTATTTTATGACTCATGTGCGGCTTTTTGTATCTTGCAGCAAGCAGCTATGCGATTCAGCACAACTGCCACAACGACAACAACAACAACCACAACTGCAACTTAATTGGCGCGCGTGTCAAAGAGGTAAGTTATAGATGAGAAGCACTTGAAAAAATGGCCACAAATGTCGAGAATCGTGTTGCAAAAGATGCTTTGTGTAAAATGTCTGGACGCAATTTGACTGTGGGCATGCCACAAGTGGCTAAAACGTTGCCAGTTGGCGTCAGGTGTGGGCAAAACGTGTTTGCAGCAAAAACCATAGCAAAGCCTGCTAATTGTCCGTTTTTTATTTATACTATTCTACCCTGGCTTATTGCACAAAACGGGTATGATAGGACAATAGGGGAAAGTTGTATTTAGTTATGGTGAACATGCCTGTCTCATCGAAAACATTTCGATAATACAATTTTATCAAGTGAAAATTGTAGTGAAGCTTTTAAGTTCAGAAACAGTTCAGCTCATTTTTTTTTATTTTACGAATATATTATAATTATCGATTGAGTTAATGTATGATAAATACTTTAAATATACTGAAGAATATTCTTTTCATGTGTCACGATACTCCCATTACAGTTATCGATTGTCTTAAAATCTAGATTGTAAGAGCTTCAGATATGCGTAAGGCCTATGCATAAAAGAGAATGAGATATAAGTCCCAGGCACAGGTCAGGCCCAGGTCAGGGTCGTACCTGTTGACCATATGAAGAAAATCTTAACGAAAATTTAAAATTAATTTTCTATTTACTCTAAAAAAACCTTTTGATATCCGTTTCTTCGATGATCAAATAAGAAATGGTTTTATTATTTTGGTTATGGTGGAACTTTTTCTAGAAATACCCGTGCGTAGATAGTATATTTACATCGGGCGACTGGCCTGTAGGTATTTCCCAGTCAAGTAGCCTTAAATTCACTTTTCTTCTACGCATTACCTTTCCATCTTTCTGGTTGTTGCCTGTCTGCGGCTTATTTTGTAAATTACGGCGTCCTTACGAAGGGCGGGCGAAGGGCCTTCTGGGCCAGAATGTGGAGGTGGAGGATTACAGCTGTCAGCTGTATGTGTGTGTGTGTGTATGTGTGTGCATGTGCGTGTATTTGGAGAGGCCACCGACTCCGCTACGTTATAATGCAACGTCGCCGCCCACATTTGTGTGTGATGGGCGTGGCTGGTTTGACTTTGGCCTGGAAAAGGTCAACGTCTGCAGGCGCAGGCAACGCCGGAGGCATCCATGGTCGAATGGGGCACCAAAATTTACATTTAATTAGACATAATTGTAGCAATTTATAGGGCCATTTGTTTAAGACTCTTTGGTACGGGACAAATGCTTTAAAGTGATTCACTGTAGCGTCATTTTGTGCCGTGATTTTGTAACGAAATTGTACAAAGTGTCTGGAAATATAAATTTAATTGCGTTATAAATTCAATTATACGGCTGTTATCTATATTTGCAATGAACTGTTTGGAGGCCATTTGTTCTTCTTGAAAATTATTAAGTTATTCAATTTTCTTTTTCAATTTGTTTGATTAACTTCAAATAATATTTCTATGTATTAAGTCTATGTTATTTTCTGACTGTTTACATAATGCCCATTGGGTTCAGGTGGCTTATATCTTCCATTAGAGGTGTATACTTCCACAGACCCTTCTTTGTCCTCTAACTAGAGAGTAATATTTGTGCAATATTTACGCACTGAAAACAATGGACTTGAAGCAAGACCTTGTTGATCTAGCGAGGTGCCCACATCTCGAACCATCAAGAGTGCTCGACTAGGAAATACCCCGTGCCAACTACACTCTCAGGGGAGTAGACTCATATTATGAGCGTGCTTAGTGCTTTTTATTTTGACTCTTTCGTTAAACTATACTATTTTAATATTTTCTCTGCTTTTATCGATATTTGCAATTTGCAATTCCGTTCATGCTGTCCATATTTTAGTAATTTTACTTAACTGTAACTGAGTACAAGTCGATTTCGACCTCGAGTATTGGCTTAGAGCCCATTCTCACTGACTGCAGGTCCATTATTTATTAATGTTTGTCTCTGACACACACACACACACACACACACACACACACACACACACACACCCACACATACGCCCAAGTACATTAATAAAATATCATTAGGATCTATCCTTGCCTGTCTACAGTAATTTCCTCGCAAAACTATTTCCATTGCTGAACTTGTGGCCTTCGCCGAAGGTAGTCAGAGGCAAAAACAACAACATTCAACAACACTCACAACACTTACAAAGTTTGCTGTGGGCTGAAATGGAGGCACTTAGCACGGTTCGAACCTTCGTCGGGGGCAAAATTCTTCCTCTGCTCATATCAATATTTGGCCGCATTTAATTGCAATTCAATTTGAGTTTTCAATGAAATTTGAGCTTAAAAAAAACTGTGGCAAAAACAACAACCCAAACGCCTCCCGTTTTCTGCATACGGTAGGCGTGGCCCTTTACATGATATAAGAGAAATTTTCGTTTCGCTTTTTATTTGCTGTGTTTTTTCGTTTTGCCGTGTGCATTTCGATAGTCTCTCTGCTTAAAGCTTGTTGGGCAGTTATCCTTGAAATTTTGTTGGGTCTGCGGGGAACTGGTGTACATGCCCCAAGGCGTGGCATGCGGGGGCCGGCATGTTTAATATTTGATTATGTGAAATGCGGGGCTGCAATATGGCAACTGCTTGTCAATGGCAAATACCAAATGTCGTATGTTTGTTTATGAAGATGTGTGTGTGTGCGTGTGTGTGTGAGTATTTGTGAATTCGAGCAGCAGTTATTAGCAGAATACGTTGCATTGCCTGAAGCGGGGCTGAAGAGGGGAAAGTGGCTGACATAGAAAAATTGTTAGTGCGTTAGTCGAATTTGTAGCCAGTTTATTTGTTTTACCAAGCTCTCACAGTTGAAAGAGCCAATTGGTATTTATGCATTTCATTTTGAGTTTTGATCAGCATACATCTGAAATCCCAACAGCCGTGCTTTGTGTTTCGATAATAAGACTCTAGGCTATAGAAAAACGATTGCATAGAATACATTTTGAAATGTTTGGATTTTAAAGCACCAGCTTGTGTTCCCTGAAAGGCCGGGTGAAATTTTTGTTTGTAAATAGTAAACTCCATCTAAAAGACAAATATTGATTAATTTCATAAAAAATTAATCTAAAAGCCGATTGGGTGACAATTTTACCCTAATCTGTTTAAACTTAAACATTCACGTTTCACACAAGTTGTAGAATGAGATCACATATTTACCAAAATCTTGTATGGATCTTATAAAATAAATTTAAGGACGATAGGATAAATAACCAATTATTATTCCTCACATGGTTTTCATGTATATTTCACTCATGTGGGTGAAGTTTTTGGATAAGCTGGTAAAATGAATCACAAGATACATCAATCTTTTCAGTTTTCATTCTCCAGTCTGTGAAATCTTACTGTCAAAGTTCAAGATTTGTAAAACATGTATCTGAAGCGTTTTTTATTGTTTATTGTTTTTATTGTTTATACTGCTGTTATCTAGTGAATGAGAACTTTAACATTGCTTTTCATTTCTAATTTATTTCATTTTATTTATTTTTCATACACTTCATTTAAGCTGTTTTGCTCAATCATTCCAACATTGATTTATTTGACCTTTGCTTGGCAGCAAAAGTGCAACTACTCGAGAGTTTTCATTCAATACTGCAATTCGCTTCCTATGCGCCCTGTATATTTTCCCGTACTCATGCCTTCGCATCAATTTCTTGGACAGCTCCTTCTACTTCATCTAAGTACCTTCTACCTAATAGCAAACATATTTGAGTACTTTTCGTTCAGCCTCCCGCAGTCCCTGTCCCTGGGCCACGCTTCAATGAAAGCTGTTGCCCAACTTGAGCGATTTATTTGCTTTAACATAATGCAGGTCACAGCCCAGCCCCAACCTTTCCCCCGGAGAGCCCGCCCACCATAAAAACAAACCTAAAAGTCAATAGCGCAAAATATATAAACCCGAGCAAAACTCGTAAAAAATCATTTCTTATTTATTTGAGAGCTGAGCGCGAAATGAAATATTGTGCAGGCAATGAAATTACATTTTTCCTGTTTTTTTTTTCTTTTTGTGGGCGTCATTAGCGGTGCAGATGCTGTGGCCTCGAAGGGGGCTTAGAAAACAAGGGGAGTGTAGCAGATTCCGCCTGTCGATGCAGCGTAAATATTTGCACAAATCTAATGAGCACTTGTGGGTTGCAGTTTAAGGATGTGAAGTGTGTGAGAACCTAACGATGACGCTTGAAAAGGTTTTGAAAAAAAAAAATAACAAAAAAAAAAAGGCAATGAGAAGTCAAACAAGAGTATACCTCTTGATATATCTCGATTTTCAATCAATTTTAATAATTCTATCAAAATCTCTTTGGTTAAAAAAAGTGTAGATCTTTGCGGAACTAGATTAGATGTAAGCAATTGTTTTTATCTTAAAATATGTATCGCATAATCTACAACATCTGTAATAAGATGTGAGGTGAGAACTATCAATTATCGATATGGTAAATATAAATCATTCAGATCTGCTGTTTCTGATCTGCGTTGAGATATTTTTCAGATCTTATAGTATCGAATTAAAAAATCGATATTTATCGGTAATGAGCAAATGTAAATCTAAAAAACATGATCCTTTTATGGAATAAGAAAATTAATACAACGAATTTAAGGTGTGTTGCCTCTAAGATCGCCTTACTTTACTATATACAACTTCGATATACCCTCTCTACCAATTTCTTATCGCTAAAGGGCATACCAAATGAGAAAGAAGCAGAAGGCGACAGACACAGAAATACGAGTATCTTTTATACATTTACAGTACCAGCTCTCCAAGGAGGCGGCCCGCCTTCTACACCAGTTCTGATAAGAAACTCGAGTACTTTGGCTCAGTACCTTGGCCCCGCCCACACTTCAGCCGCTTGCCCTTTAGGCCAGAGGTCAAGTCATGTTGGCTTGCTGCGCATTGTTCCATTGGTAATATGAAGAAGCTTTTCTTCTCCCCTCGTGTCCCCCACTGTTTCATGATATCCACCCTATTGCACATGTGTGTTTTCCTTTCGGGCCATGG